ACCATGTAAGGTTGTGAATTGGAGAGTGTAGTTACCCCCTGCCAATTACACCAATTATCTGCTGACCAAGTAATTACTTGTCTAACCAAACAGGGCAAACAGTGTAATTACACCCAATTACACCAAATCCAATTAGCAGGGTGTCCTTCCAAACAGATTAGAAATCTTCTCTTGTAGGATTTTCTATTTCATTTAACTAGTCAAGTTAAATACTAAAATATATTTATTTTTTTAAAAAAAATCAGTAATAATTTTGAGATGTGATGTGACACTACAGATATCCTTGATAGCATGGTCTATTTCTAAATTTTTGTTTGATCAAATATACCTTAAACTTCACATAGATTTAAGGCTACTAAAATTGTTCAAATACTCGAAGCTTATTACAATAAAAATAGTTCAGTAGTCAATCGACGAACTACAGTTTTTTTTTAAAAAAGCAACCCAATATAGCAAATCAAACACGGAGAAAAAAATATGTGATTGTGAAATCATCAAATTACATTAAATGGATTTGGAGAATTAAAAGAACATTTATAATTATTCCAATATAAATAAGAAAAGGACATTAAATTATAAAAGAAATTTAGGAAAAAGAATTGGAGGATAATTTAGTAATTTAGGGGTCTTATCCAAAGATTGTTAAACCTTTGATTAGTTATCTCTCCCTTTTATAGGGATAAAATAAGACCTCATATGAGATATAACTAATCCATGAATTAAGTTATAAAATAAAATAAACAAACAATGTTTCTGTTGGACTAAATTTTAATCCAAAGACTATTCTATCTAATTAATATATACCGCCTACCAAATGGGTCCTAAAAGTTATACTCCCTCTGTTTCAAATGACTTACTTTCCTTTTTAGTATGTTTAAAAAAGAATAACTTATTTCCCTTTTTATTAACATTTTTTCACGCGGCATGTTTAAAGCCACAAGATTAAAAGATAATTTTATACATTTGACATAACTTTAATTTAGGACCATAAGATTTAAAAGTCCTCTATATTTTCTTAAACTTCGTACCAAGTCAAACTTCGTGCCAAGCCAACTTCTACTCATTGTTGTATTTAACCTTTTTTTCTGTACTGGTCTATATTTGTTTAGGTAAAGATAAGGTGAAGGTGTTTCCATAGGTCAAATTATACAGTTTCAAAGTGGCATGACAATTATTCATGAGCATTGAAGACCATAATGATGTTGAAAGGCTTTCTGTACAGTTCAACATTTTCTTGAAAGGACTCCATCCCTCTAAATTTACCTGGTACAACATTTTACAAGGCAATAAGAGCTACAAATGTTATTAGGAAAGAATTATTGCAATTTGTAAGGAAAAGAAGAGAAGCCTTGGAACAAAAAACAGCTTCACCTTCACAAGACATTTTGTCTCATTTGTTGTCCTGTTCTGATGAAAATGGGAAGTACATGTCTGAACTACTTATTGCTAATAACATATTGTTGCTGCTCTTTGCTGGCCATGACACTTCATCTGTCACTCTTACTTCACTCATCAAGACTCTTGCAGAGCACCCTCAAGTTTATCAAAACATTCTGCAAGGTCAGTATGTTAAATTATTGTTCCTTTTTATATATTTTTCTTCTCTGAATTATGGGATTTGCTTTGTTAGCCGTATGCGTGACACTTGATTATTTTGATCTTAACAATTTACCCTTTAATTAAGAAGATCACAACATGCTTTTATCTAGTTATCCTTACTTTTTATAAGGCATAATATATAAATATGCTATTTAACTTGGCCTCATTTGTTATATATGTCTTCCAATTTTGAGTTTGCATAAGTAGACACTTAAAACATGTATTGAGTTGAACAAGTAGATACACATGTCCTACATGATAATTCACATCATATGTGATGTCCTATGTGTATTATGTCACAGAGAATGTGTGTGTCTACTTGCTTAACTTTATACAAGTTTAAGTGCTCACTTGTACACACCTTAAGTTGAAAGGCATAAATGCCAACTGAATCCAAATTACATGACATATTTATGTATTATGCTTTTATAAATTTATGGAATTATCTTACGTACGGGTCCATCTTTTATTAATTATTTGGTGACAAAGCAGAGCATATTGAGATAGCATCATCAAAGAAAGAAGGGGAATTTTTAAATTGGGATGATATACAGAAGATGAAGTATTCGTGGAATGTCATATCTGAAGTTATGAGAATTACACCACCTATATTGGGGGCTTATCGAGAAGCAATTGTGGATATAAATTATGAAGGTTATCATATCCCCAAGGGATGGAAGGTAGGTACATTTACTCTATGAATATGATGCTTTAATTTCATACAACACTTGCCAAGTTGCAGCATGAGCTTTCCAACTAAATTCACAAAGGATCTAAATTATAAAATCACAATGTAATTATCACTAGAAATTCAACTATATTTATCTTATAATCTAGTGATGTGATTATAAAAATAGTTTCTTAAACTCATTTATGTTGGAACAGTTGTACTGGAATACTGGTTTAACTGTTGGAAAGAAAAAGGAAGAAAAGGAGAAAGTGAACAGAAAAATAGAGCAGAAAAAAGAAGTAAAAGCTACTGCAAAGTTTTGTTTCTGATTAATAATGGAAGCAACAAGTCTGCCTATAAATAGGCTTACTGTAAAACAGAAAATACTAAAATCTAGGTCCACTAAACCACTAACTACTAATTAGCTACTAATCTGCCACAATATCTACACATGCTAAAGATAAAGGAAACTAACTAACAAAATCCTGAAGACTTGGTCAAGTATCTGAATCACTTTTCAACACTCCCCCTTGATTCAAAACAACAAACTCCAAGTTGACCTCTGAAGAACTCATGCTTTGCTTGTGGAAGTGACTTCGTGAAGATGTCTGTTGCTTGCTCATTTGTATCATAAGACTTCAAAGTAATTTCTCCAGTAGAAACAAGACCTCTAATATAGTGATAGCGAATATCAATGTGCTTTGTTCTGCTGTGAAATGCTGGCTTCTTCGTCATCGCAATAGCAGATATATTGTCACAAAAAATCTCAGTTGCACCAGTCGGTTTCTGATTAAAATCTGCAACTAGTCTCCTTAACCAAACTGCTTGACAAGCTGCAGAGGTTGTTGCAATATATTCAGCCTCTGAAGTTGATAAAGCGACCACTTCCAGCTTCTTTGAACTCCATGAAACTGCTCCAGACCCAAGATTAAACAAGAAACTAGATGTGCTCTTTCGATCATCAATGTTGCCTGCGTAGTCACTATCAGTAAAGCCAGTTAATGTGAAATTTGTTACCTTAGAATACCAAATTCCATGCTCTGTTGTCCCAACAATATATCTTAGTACTCTCTTTGCAGCTCCAAGGTGAAGCTTGCTTGGATTGTGCATAAATCTCGATATAACGCCAATAGAGAAAGCAATATCTGGTCTTGTATGAGACAAGTAATTCAAACCACCAACTAGACTTCTAAAATAAGTTGCATTTGCCATTTCATAACCATCATCACGACACAACTTTTCATTAATATTCATCGACGTAACAACAACTTTACAATTTACCATAGTAAACTTTTTCAAAAGATCTGTCGCATATTTTCTTTGTGAAAGAAATATGCCTTCGATTCCCTGTTTCACCTCAAGACCAAGAAAATAATGCAGTAGACCCAAATCAGACATCTCAAAATTCTTCATCATGCACTCCTTAAAATCAATGATCATAGACTCATTCGAACCCATATATATCATATCATCAACGTAAAGACATACGACCAAAAAATCATTTTTACCTTCTCGCTTTACATAAAGAGTAGGCTCATTGTTACTCCTTTCAAAACCATTCTCATGGAAATATGAATCAATCTTGAAGTACCATGCCCGCGGCGCTTGCTTTAAGCCATAGAGTGCCTTTTTTAACCTGTAGACATTATCTTTTTTGCCATTTACTACAAAACCTTCAGGTTGTGAGACATAGACTTCCTCTTCCAAATCACCATTTAAAAAGGCAGATTTAACATCGAATTGGTAAACTGGCCAACTTAAATTAGCAGCCAAGGCTAAAAAAGTTCTCACAATTTCAAAGCGAGCAACAGGAGAAAAAGTTTCTTCAAAGTCAATACCTTATTGCTGGGAATAACCTTTTGCGATGAGCCTTGCCTTATGTTTTTGGATGCTGCCATCAACATGATACTTGGTTCTAAACACCCATTTGAGCCCAATAGCTTTCTTTCCTTCAGGCAAATTTACCAAGTCCCATGTCTGATTCTTTTGAATAGCCATCAACTCTTCTTCCATAGCCTTGCACCATTTATCCTCTTTTTCAGCATCTTCAAAGAGGATAGGATCTGAAACAAGTAAAGCAAAGGTACAAGATGTACTGTTAGCATATCTAGGATTTTGTTTCCTATCTCTTGTTGATCTTCTTAATGGAGTTGGCTTAGCGGAAGGTTTTTCCAATATTGGAGAAGTTGCTGGTGCAATTGATGAGGTAGATGATGGACCAGCCAAAAAAGGATCAGCTACATACTCTTGATCAATAATATCGTCAGAAGGCAACAACTTAATGTTTGAACTTTCATTTGTGGAATTAAAATTCCAACTTGCATCTTCATTAAACACAACATTTCTATTGACCGTAATCTTACCACTAACTGGATTATATAACTTATAAGCCTTGGATTGTGTGTTGTATCCAACAAAAATACATTTTTCACATTTTTCATCAAGCTTACGTCGAGCTTGTGAATTTATCAAGGCATAAGCTATACAACCAAACACACGTAAGTGGCTTACCTTGGGCTTGTTACCTCTCCAAGCTTCATATGGTGTTTGATTAAACACTGCCTTAGTAGGAGAAATATTCAGCAAATAGACAGCAGTGGCAACAACTTACGATCATCGGCTTTGATCATGCCACTAGGCATTTGATTAAGACATTGCACAATGATCCGAACACTTTGTCGCATCTCTTCGATACGAAGATAAACAAATAAAGAGCTAACTTTCTTTATTATTATGTAAGATTAGAAGGTGCAAAATGAATCGGCGCAGGAGCTGCTACAATTGCTTCAGCGGGAGCTGCTGCCGGTATTGGAAATGTTTTCAATTCCTTAATTCTGAAGCCCAAAAACACTTCAGTACGAGACCTTCCATCATGCTTCTGCTCATCTCGACAACTGTGCGGTTCTTTCGTTCTGCTACACCATTTTGCTTTGGTGTATAAGGTGCTGTGAGTTCTCTGTGTATTCCATTTTCCTCACAAAAGAACTGAATTCTTTTGACATAAACTCACCACCTATATCTGTTCGAAGTGTTTTGAGTCTACATCCACTTTGCCTCTCAACAAAAGATTTAAATTTCTTGAAATTGTCAAAAGTTTCAGATTTAAATTTCAAAAAATATATCCAACTCATACGACTATAATCATCAGTAAAAAGCAGAAAGTATCGACTTCCCCGTAAAGACTCAACACTCATAGGACCACACAAATTAGCATGTACTAACTCAAGACAAACAAAAGCTCTCCAAGACTTGCTTATAGGAAAACATTTTTTACTTTGTTTCCCATAAACATAACTTTCACAAAAATCAAGATTCTCAACTTTTGGCAACCCAAAAACCATTTCCTTTTGACTCAATAACTTCAATCCATTAACATTTAAATGCCCATAACGTAAATGCCATAGTCTAGTTTCATTATCTCCACTAGCTACCATAGTACACCTCTCAACCATTGAAACTTCTAGAGGAAACATTTTATTGTTAGCCATTGGAACTTTAGCAATGATTTTCTCAGATTTCTTATTTTTAATAGTGCAAACACCATCGTCAAAGAAAATTGAGTATCCGCTAATCATTAGTTGTCCAATGCTAAGCAAATTATGAGATATACTAGGAACAAACATCACATCTTCTAAAATCTTAGCATTACCTTGGCTGGTCATAATGTTAATTGTACCTCTACCTTCAACCTGAATCTTCTTGTTGTCTCCTAGCCTTACATCTGATTTTTTTGACTCATCGAGCTCCTTGAACAATGATTTTGTTCCATACATATGATTGGAACAACCACTGTCCAAAAACCAAAAATCGTTAGGAGTTTATTTTTCACAATAAAGGGCCATGAACAACTTACTGTCATCATCATTTTCCTTTACAAAGCTTGCTTGGTTATTCTCATCCCTCTGTTTTTGCCAACAATAAGCTTCTTTATGACCTGATTTTCTGCAGTAGTTGCACAGAAACGTCTTAGCCTGCTTCTCTTCATTTGATCCTCCTCTATCTTGATTTATTCCTTGGCCTCTTCCACGGCCTCTTCCTCGAAAACCACCTCTGCCTCTTCCACGATTTGCAAAGTTTTCTAGCTTATCTTTCTGATGAATGGACTCCCCCTTCACTTGAAATGTCTTTTCTTCATATTTTTCATGCGATCTTAGGAGCCTCTCTTCATGAGCTTGCAAAGAACTCATTAGTTCATCAAAAGTATAATAAGATAAGTCATGAGATTCCTCAATCGCAACAACAATATGTTTAAACTTTGAAGTAAGACTCCTTAAAACATTTGCTACAACCGTTTCTTCAGATATGTTTTCACCATAAGACTTCATTTGATTAACAAGAGAAGAAACTCTAGACAAATAAGTTTGAACAAATTCATTACTTTTCATAGAAAGAGTTTCAAAGTCACGACGGTAAGTCTGTAATTTTACCGTAATCACCTTAGCTAAACCTTGAAATTCCTTCTTCAAAATCTTCCATGCCTGCGAAGATGTAGTTGCTACTGCAATTCTTGAAAAAATTGTATCATGGACTGCTTGTTGAATTAGGAATAGCGCTTTGGCATCCTTCTTTTTTATCTCTTTCAATTTTTCCGTCTCTTCGTCAGAGTCTGATTGCTCCACGAAGCCTACTTCAACCAAATCCCAAACTCCTTGTGATTTGAAAAGAGTTTTCATTTTGATACTCCAAAACTCATACTTTTCACTAGTAAAAATTGGCATGAGTTGTTGGGAAGATGATGAAATACCATTTACTACTATTTTTCCTCACAATTTCCAGAAAGGAACCTTGCTTTGATACCAGATTTGTTGGAAAGAAAAAGGAAGTAAAGGAGAAAGTGCACAGAAAAATAGAGCAAAAAACAGAAGTAAAAGCTACTGCAAAGTTTTGTTTCTAATTAATAATGGAAACAACAAGTCTGCCTATAAATAGGCTTACTGTAAAACAGAAAATACTAAAATCTAGGTCCACCAAACCACTAACTACTAATTAGCTACTAATCTGCCACAATATCTAAACATGCTAAGATAAAGGAAACTAACTAACAAACTCCTGAAGAATTGGTCAAGTATCTGAATCACTTTTCAACATTAACAAGTTTGGATCCAGAGATTTTCCCCAATCCAATGAGGTTGGACCATCAAGATTTGAAAGAGCTGGACCTGCACCATATGCATATGTTACATTCGGGGGTGGACCTCGAATGTGTCTAGGAAAAGAGTTTGCTCGCCTGGAGATGCTCATCTTTCTGCACGTCTTAATCAGGAAATTTACTTGGAAATTACTTATTCCAAATGAAAAATTTATATATGATCCAATGCCTACCCCTCTTCAAGGACTTCCCATTAGCCTTCAACCTCACAATTAGTGAGATTCTTGTGTGTATTTTTATTTCTTTCTAGAGACATTAAAAAAACCCTTTAGCATTTGATGCTATGTAGCAATTGATTATGAACTGGAAATATGAGCGATGTTGTTGGCTGAGATGTTAAAGCCTCTAAGCTTTTGTTGAGTTCTTACCATCTCCATCCTTGGGAAGAAACCAAATGAGAATTGAAAGTGGAATAATGACTATTGAGTTATTAATTACTCATAAAATAGAAGAAAAAGGGGAAAGATTTATGCTTATCTCTCAATAAATGTGTGTGGGGTGGTAAGCAAAGATTTTGCAGTTTTGGTCACATTTTCCTCTGTGAAACCATACTTGTTGAATGCTTCTGAATATGGTCCGCTAGAACCAAAGTCATCGATCCCTGTCGCCGGAGCAACATTATTATTACAGGAAGAGACGAAGAAGACGAATGCGCTAAGTAAAATTGGCACCTAATTCAAATGTCTTGAAACTTATGGGCCGGGTCACATATAATAAACTTTTGGATCAGCTATTGGTTTGATCTATATTTGACAGATGCCCATTACCCTTATACATACATATTATTTGCTTTCCTTTTATCCTTATCTGTAGGAATATTAGAGGGTTCTAGAATAGGATTAAATGTACATATTTTTGTTAGAGGCGTCAGAGTTTGTTAGGATATTTTATTTCATGGAATATACTTATATAAATAACAGAGCTGGGATGTATAGAAATACACATTGAAAGGAAATGAAATTCCATTTTGGAAATCTAGAGTTCTTCATTCTATCTTCTGCTATGGTATCAGAGCAGTAGCTCTAGAAGGATTTTTTTTCATTACTTGTCTTCATCATTCCATTGATCTTTTCATTCTTCTGCTTCTTCGTATTTCTTCTTTCATCTTCATATTTTTTTCTTGATCTTCTATTTTGAAAAATGGGAGATGCCACGTTAGCTGTTGAGAAAGACTTATCTGGAGTCATCACTGGTTCTAAAAATTAGATCATTCAAATCCTCTCTTTCTCAACTCAGCAGATTCACCTGGCATGAATCTCATTAATATGAGTTTTGATGGAACCAGCTATGGAAACTGGAGAAGAGGAGCTCTCATCTCACTTTCAGCTAAAAACAAGCTTGTTTTTATCAACGAAAAGTATCCTAAACCTACTGCTAATGCACCTTTATTTACTCAATGGGTAAGATGCAATGATATGGTCATAGCTTGGCTACTCAACTCCTTGAGTAAGGATATTGCAGAGAGCGTGATTTACTCACAAACTGCAGAAGAGCTATGGAACGAACTAGACAGAGGTATGGTCAATCTGATGGAACCAAGATGTTCCAGTTGCAAAGGGATATCAGTAGCATTTCCCAGGGAACTTCTGATATTGCTGGCTATTTCACAAGGTTGAAAAGAATTTGGGACCAAATGAAAGAGTTGAACACTTTTATGAACTGTAGTTGTGATTGCAGTTGTGGTGCTAAGGAGCACAACTTCAAAATGAATGAAGATCAGTAGCTCATTCAGTTTCTAATGGGTTTGAACGAGGTCTATTCAAATATCCGAGGCAACATCTTAATGTTGAAACCTTTGCCAACCACTGCACAGGCTTATTCACTCATCCTTCATGAGGAGAGGCAGAAAGAGGTACACTCTGTGCTTAAGTTAACTCCCGACTCTGCTGCTTTTAATATTGCAGCAACAAGAACCTCTGCACAAAAGACAAGTAATGAGTCTAGAAGAGACTATGTGAACAATGGCAATTTCTGTAGCTACTGTAAGAAACCGGGGCATGAGAAGGATAAATGTTTTAGATTACATAGATTTCCTACAAATTTTAAGTTCACTAAGCCTAGGAGAATCTCTGGATATAGACCAGCGAATTGTGTAGCAACAGAGGACGAAAATGCTTTAGGATCTTCCTCTAGTTCAGGCACTTCTTCTCAGGGATTCACCAAGGAACAATGTGACCAACTACTTCAAATGCTACAAACAATGCAGGCTGGAAACTCAATTGCTCTAGGTTTTGAAGTCAATGCAACTGCTAATTTTGCTGGTATAAGTGCTGCTATGCATATCTTTACCTCATGTTTTAACTCATCTACCTCTAACCCTTGGATTATTGATTCTGGTGCCTCCCAACATATGACTTTTGAAAAAAACCTTCTACATAATGTCAAGAAATTATCCTATCCTGTTTTTGTTAATCTGCCAAACTCTTATAGAATGAGAGTTTTCTATTTTGGTAGTCTTAATCTTTCTTCTGATATTGAATTACACAATGTCCTTTATGTTCCTTCTTTTAACCATAACCTAATGTCAGTAAGTCAGCTTTGTAGACAATTGGATTGTGATGTCATTTTTAACAAATCTGGTTGTCTGCTACATGGCCTTTCCATGAAGAGTCACCTGATTTTTGGTGAAGTATTTGCAGGCCTTTATGTGCATCTATTGGAGGATAACACAACTCAACCAAAAAATTTCAAGTCTAATGTTCCTGTTTCTACTATCTTTCAGTCTTCCGCTCCTAGAAATCATATGAGTCCTATCAATGTTATCAAGTTAAATTCTGTTAAGTCTTTTTGTCCAAGTTTTGAGTCTGTAGCTGGCAACACTTCTTGCCCCTAAAGTTTCTACTATCAATAAAAATTGTTTTGTTTCTAAGAATTTTACTTCAAGTAAGCTATGGCACTATCGATTAGGGCATTTACCTTATCCAGCAATGAGAAATATCACTGGTTTATCAGAATTTTTAACAGACCACAATCATTTTCCTTGTGAAATTTGTCCGATGGCAAGACAAACAAATTTACCTTTTCTTGTTAGCCACATTTCCTCAAAGCACTGTTTTGAACTACTACATATTGACATATGGGGACCTTATAAGACACCTACGTAAAAGGGGAAAAATATTTTCTTTCCATTGTGGATGATTTTTCTAGAGGGACTTGGGACATATCTTTTATCCACAAAATCTAATGCATTCTCTGTTCTGAAATTTTTCCTAGCTTTTGTGAAGAGACAATTCTCCACGAAAGTCAAAATCATTCGGTCTGATAATGCTTATGAGTTGGGTACAGGCACTATGCAATCTGAATATTTTTTATCAAAAGGGATTATCCACCAAACTTCTTGTGTAGCCACCCCACAACAAAATGGGGTGGTGGAACGCAAATACAAACATCTTTTGGAAACATGTCGAGCCTTATTCTACCAATCTCACCTTCCTAAGAAATTTTGGGGGGAATGTCTTCTAACTGCTACTTATCTAATTAATCGTTTCCCTTCTAAATTTTTACATGGTCAGTCATCTTATTAGGTTTTATATGACAAATCTCCAGCCTATTCTCATCTTAAGTCCTTTGGTTGCCTTTGTTTTGTGTCCACTCTAGCGAGATCTAGGGATAAATTGTCTCCTCGAGCTCTTCCAGGGGTTTTCTTAGGTCATCCTTTTGGGCAAAAAGGGTACAAAATTCTGCATTTGCAGACCAACAAAGTCTTTGTCTCTCGAAATGTGAAATTTTGTGAAACAATCTTTCCTTTTGTTTATGTTATTCCTATGTCAAGACTCTTTCCAGCAGCTTTTCCTCCTACTGAAAATGTCGAGTCCAGTCCTATTTACTCACAAACTACTGAGTTTTCCAGTCCACCTTCATCTCCTACAAATGATTCTATTCATCCTTCATCTCCTTTCCATCATAGTCAGTCATCTCCTTCTTTATCGCTTTCTTCTCCACCTTCTTCTACTTCATTTCCCATCCAAGAAACTACATCACCAAGGGTTGTGTTATCTCCAACAGCTGAACGGAGAAGGTCTTCACGCATACACACTACACCATCTTATCTTTCTGATTATGTTTGTAACAATGCATTTTCAGTGATTTCTCCTAATCCGCCTTTATTTCCTTTTCATTCATTTTCTTTCACCTCCCTTTCTTTACACAACCAGCACATATTTAGCTCTATTTGTCAAATTACAGAACCAACATCTTACCGACAAGGAGCACTTCACCCTGGTTGGCAAATTGCAATGTCTAAAGAACTTGAGGCAGTTGAGACTAATCGCACTTGGGATGTCATACATCTTCCTGTTGGAAAATTGGCATTGCATGCAAATGGGTTTATAAAGTCAAGCTAAAATCAGATGGATCATTAGAACGCTTGAAGGAACGTTTGGTTATACGAGGGGATAAACAACGGGAAGGCATTGACTATACCGAAACGTTCTCACCTGTTGTCAAAATGACAACTATCAGATGCCTTCTTAGCATTGCTGTAAAAAAGAACTGGTCTTTATATCAACTGGACGTTAACAACGC